CACTCACAATGTATACAATTCCCCAGGCCAGAGGCACACCCCCTGGACCTCATGGTACGCAGGCATACAAAGGACACAGACCAATCAAAACAATACAACAATGTCTGACACTCCCATTCATTACAGCAAAATCCTCCCCTCTGCCTGTGATATAATTACTGAATACAATACAATACAATTCTCACAGGCAGGAAAATATACAGTTTTATACAATTCTTATAACTTCACATTTACACATCACATTCAAATAAAACTTTTAAGAATTTTAAGAATCAGCGTACTCCAAATACAAACATATGTCAAAATCATACAAATCCCTTCAGTGGTTAAAAAGTTAGCTGGAAGTCCTTTTTAACCGACTGCAAGCATGGCTTGGGTGTGGTAAGCCAATTATCTCCAGGTACAGAAAATCTCTCTATTCACAACAACAGTAAAAATTAGTGATGTTGTCAGGGTATTTATATCGGCAGACATCTTGTGCTATGATAGAAATGAAAAGTGTATATGCTGAGTCACTCTAAATAGAGTAGACTCCATTTTGTTATTTTCAAGCTAACAAAAGACACAAGATTTCTATCTGTAAAACTAACCACTTTCCCAGAGCTAAAGGAATGCATATACAAACCAAGTGATAAGGAGAACGGGGGTTGGACAGACTGTCTAAATGCTAATGGAATATAATCAATTCTATTTGTGACAGACAAGATTAAATAATTTAATTTTACTTTTTATATTGTATAACCTCCCATTGTAGTTTAAGGTGAAACTTAGTTTACGAACTGTCATATTAGAAATTATAGCAGGAATTGCGGACACTAAGTCTGGACAAAATTAAGAGAAAACCCTTTGAAGTGAAAGAAAACTTAAGTTATGGCAACTATAAAGATAAAGCAAAATTACGTCAAAATAGCCACCAAGAAAAGTTAACTCTTTCCTGGATAGGTATGTTTAGTGGGACAAGACTGCCCTCTATAGAACAAATACTAAATTGCTATCTGGAAGGTAACCACACCCCCAGTGTTCCTATTGGTCTATCAACTAGTGAATTTTCCCTTTAAAAGTTAAGACAAAGAGAGGAGAGGGGAGGAGGAATTGGAAGTTTGGGGACTCCAACTCGGACATGCAGAGAAACCCAGGACAACATCTGAGACTAACACTCAACTCACAAACTCTTTGACACTTTCTAACCAGCACTACTTTTCACTATTACCCACACACCTCCATGCAGAGAGACATCCAAACAAGTTCCTGAGACTACCAATTTGATGAAAATATCTACCCAACTGGTAATTATACTGGTTTCATTTAATTAATTTAATTAATTAAAATTTACTAATAGCATGATATATGACTGGATAAATCACGGTCAGATTTCCATATTTAGAAATCTTAGTTAACTAAAGAATATATAGTTATAAACATTCCATTCTGCAGATGGAATTAAGAATAAGATATCTTTTTAGGCGAATTAAAAATCTGTTTATAAAATCTGGTAGATTCTCTTATTGGATGGTTCCAGGAAATGACTAATGAACTGGTTTGAATGTTATTTTAGTTAAAATTACATAAGAATAGATCTTAATTACCTAGGAGGTCTAGCCAGCATTGAAAGGGTTATTCTAACTGTCAGCTAAACTTTACGACCTTACGCTGCACTCTGAGGAATTCTGTTCTCTGCGTGAAACTTTTTCTTTCTCTCTGTGCAAGATAGTCATAAATCTAGTCTTGACAGAAAATGCTGTTTAGCCATTGAAACGTGTATACCCATTCCATTGCATTGTATACTATGTTGTACTAAATACTAATTGATTATTGTCACTCATGTTACATATTATTTTTATTAATTATTGGTCATAATAAATAAATCTATTTTTATAACAAATTGTGATTTTATCTATATGAAATACATTTCACTTAACACGATAACGATCTTTGGGATCTGAGAATTTAATTAGTGGGCAATTCTCACTGTTTACTATTATTATCCCATAAATATCCCCACAATGTCCCGAACGGTTCGCCGAACGGTTCACCGCGGACGGTGAACATATGCGGTAAACTTTGACCCTGTACCTCACAGTCAGCAGACACATTCCAGCCAATCAGCAGCAGACCCTCCCTCCCAGACCCTCCCACCTCCTGGACAGCATCCATTTTACATTCATTGTGAAGCTGCATTCTTAGTGAGCTGTCCAGGAGGTGGGAGGGTCTGGGAGGGAGGGTCTGCTGCTGATTGGCTGGAATGTGTCTGCTGACTGTGAGGTACAGGGTCAAAGTTTACCGCATATGTTCGCCGTCCGCGGCGAACCGTTCGGGACATCACTAGTAAAAATACATAATTCCTATCATACTGAACAGAACACCCACATTCAACCTATCCCCAGATAGCTTGGATCTGAGCGCTCGATATATCCGAACAGTGCTCAGATCCCACGAACACAGTCAAATCGCCATGGGGCTTAAGGTCCAATAAGCCCAAAGAGAGCTTTTGAAGGGCAATACAGTCCAGGGGAGGGTGCATAGGGTTTTTATGGCTTTTAGGCAGAGTGTAAAAAAACAGAGTACCAACAGTGAATGAACGCTTGATATTAGAGGAATATAGAAAAACATTAGCATTTCACCTAACCACATTTACAAAGCCATTAAAAGAACATGCCAATATTAAAACGAATATCAATGCCAGGCTGATTAAACTTAAACATACATTTTTCTCCAGCAGCAAGTCCTATCTCCATGCTCTTCCATTGCACTCCCAATGACGACAGTCTCCCTTCCGGTTTACCAGGGATGGATTGACATAGGGGCTAATGGAGCAAAAGCTCCAGGCCCATGCCCCTGAAATAGGCTCATTGATTTACAAAAAAAAAGAAAGGAAAAAATGTTGTTCTTTTTTTACTGTTCTTAACATTCTCTTGCTTTGTGCAGAGGAGACTATGTATGGGAACATAGAAGCATAACACAACTTGTGTGGACTGACTGACCATAAATTAGTTAAGGTAAAGCTAAATTTGAACACTGTGCAAATGCTGTTGCTGCTTTGGTCTCTCCACAGTGTGGCACATGTGGCACTGTCCCAGCAAATTTAAGCCTGCTGGCATCTATGCATTGAGATCATGCTTTCCGCTATGGAAGATTCCACTTTCAGACAATCAGAACCTCCTGACTGTCAGCTTGACTGCTGGGGTGGAAGGTGTTAATTCATAAAAGTGATAACTTCTTTTAAAATCAGCACTTTTATAGGTTGGAACTGACAAAGGGGGCATACAGTTAACTACTAAAACACTTAAACAAGTTTAGTTCAGCAAGAAAAATGCAAAACTAAAATGACAATATGTAAAAATATGCTATGCAAGCAGGTATGTCTGTATTATTAATATTTAATACCCTCCAAAGTAAAACTTTCAAAACACATATAAAGTAATTATGCCTTAAGAAATTGAGAAAAACTCCAGCCTTCAAAAGCTGCCAAAAGTCTAGTGCTCTATATCATCTAAGGTGTGTTTGTTATCCATTTGTGCAGTAATTTTATTTAATGCAGCTGTACACGTTGTAGCCATGTAGCAAGAACATCTGCTGCTCGTAGGTGAGAAATATAATTAATAACAGCAAACTATAAGTTCCATAGGGAAAAAACATGTAAACAAATAAATTAGAGGTGGCACAAGGATTGTAATAAAATAATATATTCTTCATATTGTCTTAGTGCCTTGTCACAATAAGGTATCATAATACATACACATGTGAACATACAGTACATAACTACTGGAATCTTAAAGGATTACTTCAAGCATCATAGCCACTACAGCCCTCTGTATGATACCAGGAGTACCGTGGCCTCCTTTCCCTGTCCTGTCAGTACTTTTTGCAGGCTGATATGCATCTGACTTCTTCTACTTTGTTAATCCTATCGGCCATTCATTGGCTGAGAGCATCAGTTGACTGTTCTCAGCCAATGAATGCCACTTTGTGCATAGAAATATGTACATAAATTGCTTGATCCAGCCCACAACTCAAAATCTCAGTACAAATCCAGGCATTGTTCATACTATCTAGTCTACATTTTTGCTCGAATGGCTCTTAATGAGGCTGAATTTGGTTCAGATTGCAGCCAGACTGAAAGTTGCTGCACCCAGATTGTAAAAGTCCAGACCATGTTGCTTTAAAATCAGGACACAGATTTTAAGAATACAAACTATTTGCCAGTTTGCAGTGCTAGCAGACAATATAGTCCCCATATTTGTATAAAGGAGGAATAATTACCTCCAGGGCGCGAGTCCTGCAGGAACGCATGGGAACGGCGTTCCTGCACTTTTTCCAAAGCAGGAACGCCGTTCCCGTTACCTGTCCTGCAGGACCGGCCCTGCTACCTGCACAGAGGGCCAGCACACGCTGTGTTCCCTTTCCAGCTATAACTCTCGCGAGACCCGCGGCTGTTACTATGGCAACGCTCCGCACAGGCGAGTCTCGCGAGAGTTAGAGCTGGAGAGGGAACACAGCGTGTGATGGCCCCTCTGTGCAGCGGCTGGCTCCCTCCACCGGACCACCAGGCGATCTCCCCCCTCCCTGACAAGGTAAGAAGCAGGGAGGGGGGGATAAAATAAAAATATATACATACACATAAAGTAAGAAAAAAATGCTCCCCCCCCCACCCACCCATCATCCAGCACTCACACACCCATCATCCAGCACACACACACACACCCATCATCCAGCACTCACACACACACCCATCATCCAGCACACACACACACCCATCATCCAGCACTCACACACCCATCATCCAGCACACACACACCCATCATCCAGCACACACACACCCATCATCCAGCACACACACACCCATCATCCAGCACACACACACCCATCATCCAGCACACACACACCCATCATCCAGCACACACACACCCATCATCCAGCACTCACACACCCATCATCCAGCACTCACACACCCATCATCCATCACTCACACACTTCATCTAGAACTCACACACATCATCCAGCACTCACACACATCATCCAGCACTCACACACACACATCATCCAGCACTCACACACACACACATCATCCAGCACTCACACACACACACACACATCATTCAGCACACACACACATCATCCAGCACTCACACACACATCATCCAGCACTCACACACACACGTCATCCAGCGCGCACACACACGTCATCCAGCGCGCACACACACATCATCCAGCACACGCTGCATTCATTATACACACTCTTCACTCACTACAAACACACTACATTCACCATACACCCTCTGCATTCACTATACACACTCTGCATTCATTATACACATTCTGCACTCACTACACACTACATTCACTATACACACTCTGCATTCACTACAAACACACTACATACACTGCATTCATTGTACACACTGTGCACTCACTACAAACACACTAAATTCATTATACACATTCTGCACTCACTACACACTACATTCACTATACACACTCTGCATTCACTACAAACACACTACATACACTGCATTCACTGTACACACTCTGCACTCACTACAAACACACTACATACACTGCATTCATTGTACACACTCTGCACTCACTACAAACACACTAAATTCATTATACACAATTTGCACTTACTACAAACACACTACATTCATTGTACACACTCTGCACTCACTACAAACACACTACATTCACTATACACACTCTGCACTCACTACAAACACACTACATTCACTATACACACTCTGCATTCGTTATACACATTCTGCACTCACTACACACTACATTCACTATACACACTCTGCATTCACTACAAACACACTACATACACTGCATTCATTGTACACACTCTGCACTCACTACAAACACACTAAATTCATTATACACATTCTGCACTCACTACACACTACATTCACTATACACACTCTGCATTCACTACAAACACACTACATACACTGCATTCATTGTACACACTGTGCACTCACTACAAACACACTAAATGCATTATACACAATTTGCACTTACTTCAAACACACTACATTCACTATACACACTCTGCATTCATTATACACACTCTGCACTCACTATATAAACACTACATTCACTATACACACTGCACTCACTACAAACACACTACATTTATTATACACACTGCACTCACTACAAGTACACTACATTTATTATACACACTGCATTCACTACAAATACACTACATTCATTATACACACTCTGCACTCACTAAAAACACCCTGCATTCATTATACACACTCTGCACTCACTACAAATACACTACAATTATTATTCACACTGCACTCACTACAAACATACTACATTTATTATACACACCCTGCACTGCACTATATGCATAGGAGTGTAATTTAAAAAAAAAAAAAAAAAAATTTAAGGATCTTGGGTGAGTTCCCACACTTTTTTCCCCAGGACTTGACCCCTGATTACCTCCCTTAGGCCCCAAACCATCATGTCACAGGTGGGAGCATGTTTACTAAACAGTGATATTAAATAATGGTGATTAGACAGATGACCTGCCCACTCCTCTGCCCATGGGGAAGATTTGCTGAAGTTTCCATTATCCATACCTATTGTCAACAAATGGAAGTTATTAAAATATTGTAATGGAAAGGGATGTGCCATTCTTCCTCATCCATAATCTAACTAAGCCTTGTGAGGTCTCTGTGCAGGCTGAGTTTCAAGGTAGGAAGAGCCTTTATAATGGCTTTCCAGTTATTTGAAATATCCCTCAGAGCGCTTTATCAAGGCTTTTCTTGCCTTGAAAGTTCAGTTTGCACGGAGAAAGATTTATGAAGAAAGAAGACTTCTAAAAGTAAGTATGTATTTGTTAACAGGTTGGGGGGAGGGGGGTTGCCAGTAGCATATCTGCCCCCTTTTGCATTGACACCCCCTACCCAAAAATGGGGTGTGGGTATTAGTTATTGGCCTATCACTGTGTAGTACACGTCCACAGTCATAGCATGGTTAGACAATATTTTTTTTTTTTACACTTTAATTTTAGTTTTACTGGGCTACTCAATTAGGGCAATTTTTTTTTATTTTTTTCACCCTGCACAAGTCTATACTCAGACTTTAGATATGAGCCATAACAAAAATAAGCAGTGGCACAGCGGAGACCAGTGTGAGCTATTTTTTGTGGTCCAGAAAAAGAAAAAAAATAAAGTGCTATAAGGTTAAAAACTTTATATAGACACAAATATTCACCCTAGAGAGCAAAGCACGTATCCCACCAGATCATCCTGTGTGGTATATTAAATTATACAAGTGATGAAGAGTCCCCTAAGGGCATTAAATGGTCAGTTCTCCACTCCATGTGCAGTAGGTGCAGGTATATTAATAAATAAAATATAATACACTGTTCAAAAAGAAAGGGTAGGTTCCCTCATCTGGCATCAGGGTGGATAAAAAAATATTATATGGTTAGCGTGTACTCTTTCCCTATAAGAGAACAGATTTCAAAATTAATTTTAAACGTTTTGTGGTCCTTTTTGAGATTTTGGGTATTTTTCATTTTAGTACAGTTTGATCACTTGGCCACTACGTTGTTTATTAAATGTTGTTTTAAGATCCTCTAGCTTGCATTGGATGGGTTGAGCTACTTGGCTTTCTTCTGGAAATACTGTGGTCTCCACAACACCTTTTTTTTATTATTTGGTATTATTATTTATGTAATTTTAAAAACCATGCTGTGGTTGTAAACAGGGCAGATGGTTTGTTGTCTGCAATCATAAGAGTATACATTAATTTTAATGTGGTTTCCTTAGTTTGAATTTCAAACGTCTGTAGCAATGTTATAATAGTATTATAACTATAATTGAAGGTACCAGTTTTGAAGATTAGGCCTAACATATCAAATTATATATACAGAATGGGAGGAAGAAAGCACAGGAGGGGAGGTGGGCTAAATAAGGACATAGGAGGGGAGGGGGCAAAAGAAGGGAACAGGAGAGGAGGGGGGTATGTAACGGCTCACCTGGCACCCTGCCTGGGTACCTCCGTTGATGGACGCTCCTAGTGCTTCCAGAGGGCCCCAAGTACTCCAATTGACACCATAAGCACTGCAGACAGGAACAAACTCTTACAAGAACTTAGTGCTTATTCATGGGAGTATGAAGAGCATAGCAGATTCCCCCAATAAGAGACAGGACTCTAGATTGAGGGTGAAGTAGAACAGAAGGTTTATTGCCACAGCCTGGAATATATACAGTTTTCAGTCCAGAGGCACACCCCCTGGACCTAATTGAAAACAGGGACAAAAGGAACATAAACCAATAAAAACTTAGTTTTACATTCAGTCACTCCCATACAGTGTACACAATCCCTCCCCTCTGCCTGTGATACAGTTAACAAAGACAATGGACTAACTCGATTAACTCTAAGCAAAAAAACATAAATTTTTACAAACCCCAAAAAGTACCCCAAAATACAACACATCCCCTGATAGCCCAAATCTGGGTGAACAACATATATAAAAATCACCCAGATCGGTTCAGGGGTTCAGGAATTTCCTGGAAGTCTTATTTTTGCCCAACTGTGCACATGGTCCCATGCCCAAAACAGTTCCATACACTCGACGACAAAACACTGCTGGACAATTTAAGATGGCTGCCACCACATGTTTGAATCTGTTTCAGTTAAAATTCCAAGGGGCAGAAACAGTACTTTGAAACATGGCTTATCACAGGGCCCATAGTCCCAGGGTAAGAGGCTGGCAAGCAGGCACCTCCAAAAACCAGTGGCGAAGTTGCTTTCTTCACAGGGTAAAAGAGGGCACAACATGGAAATTGGGACAAAAGAAGGCCACAAGAGGGTAGGGGCAAATGAAAGGCACAGGGTAGGGGTGCAAAAGAAGGGCACACGAGGCAGGGGGGCAAAAGAAGGGCACATGAGGTGGGGACAAAGAAGGGCACATGAGGCGGGGGCACAAAGAAGCACAATGGGGCAGGGGGAGAAAAGACATACAGAGGGGCTTGGGGCACAAATAGACACACAGAGGTACTGGGGGCACAACGAGACACAGAGGGGCACAAGGGGACACACTGAAGGGTACAAAGACACACAAATGGGATGGCACAGAGGCCCATAGAGGGGCTGGTAGGGGGAAAGAAACTCAGAGACGCAGTGATGGGCACAAAGATTAAAAGGAAGATAGGCATTTGGCCCCAAATTAGGGACAGTACCTCCTAAATAGAGACACTTAGGAAGTATAGATAGATGGATAGATATACAGAGAGACAGAAAGACAGAGAGATATAGGTTATTGTTTGATTGATAGATAAAAGTTTAATATACAGTATTTTGGCACGCAAATGGTTAAAGGGTATTTTATCTTTGTGTATTGATTTCCATCAAGGTAAAATATACTTTTGATTATATAGAAAGTATTCATGTAATTTGCCTTGATAAAATCCATCTAACAACTGTAAAAAAACAGTGCTGACTCTTTATTGAAAATGACAGCATACACACAAAGGTTTCAAGGATCTTGGCTAGATTATCCATATGTCAAGGTAATATACAAATGATCAAAGTTGACATTGACAGCTATGGGAAAGCAATAAAGTACTCAGATGTCTTACAGAAAAGATGAAAGAATTACATTCTCTCTCCCCTTAAAGTTAATGCTGAAGGGCATTTGTAACCTTTTTCTCCTGTTGCATTACAGCAATTAAAAGTGTAGCATTAATGCTGTGTCATACTATTTCCTTCTTTGAAAGACAGTGAAGCATCAATGATTTTTTTTTTTTATTTACAATTAAAAGGTGTACTTGCATAGACAGACAGATAGATAATAGACAGACAGATAGATTGAGTGTTAACGTTTAGTATAGTGTGCTGGGTATTGGATAATGTAAGGGTCAAAGAAAGGACTTTATTGTAAAATAAGTACTTGGACATACATTTAACAATGCTGCCTGAGATTAGTGGGAGTCCTACAATCCTGGGCAGCAGTTATTTAACCCCTTAAGGACTGGACTGTTTTTGCGATGTTGTACATTTGCGACCAGGCATATTTTTACACTTTTGTGGTGTTTGTGTTTGGCTGTAATTTTCTGCTCTCTCATTTACTGTTCCCATACAAATTATATATTGTTTTTTTCAGGACAAAAGGGGCTTTCTTTACATACCATTATTTATATAATCTCATGTATTTTAATTTAAAAAAAATAAAAAAAAATATGATGGAAAATTGAAAAAATAACATGTTTTTTGACTTTTACTTGAAAAATCTT